AGTCTGTTGAAATGGCAGGGAGTGGATGAGTGTCTAATAATTTAAGAGCTTTGAAGAACACATAGATTTAACAGTTTCCAAGATATAAGGTAATATTAGGCTTTAACATAGGATTTGTTTTTGCTCCAGGAAGTGTTTTTAAAGCATACCTTATTTTAACTTAAACTGTATTACTGTTTACAAAAGTAGAAATAGAGATTAGAATCTTTCAAGGTCATTCAAAATACTGGAAAGGAAAAAAATGGGCACAAACTGATAGTTCCAGAAAACTATATCTGAATTACAGAATCAGTGGGCAGCTTGGATTATCTGAGCCTTCTATTCCTGTAGAAATATAGAGGTTGGAAGTATAACCACCTAACAATATATTTTACTATAAATATTTTTGTGGAAGGTCTCCGCAAAATTATCGATTATAAAATTTCTGTAGGTCTTATAGCTACAAAAATAAATTTTATTATTATTATTTCTTTTCAAAGAACTCCAAATTTTAATTATTTCACAATCACCACACTGTGTCTACATGAGTCAAATATATCTGCCTGGCAGTCTCCCTAATTTCTCCTATATGTGCATCTCCTTTTCTGAACAAGAAATGGATATATAACAAAATAAAGAGTTCATAGACATCTATTTGTAAGTTTGGAACATGCTCAAGGCTATTTCTACTGAAGATATAGTTGCTGTGAATATCAGGACTATATTGATTATATTCATAAATATATTAATTACTAAGAAAGTTTGCCAAATTTTTCTGGGCAATTTCTAAGACCCGTTGGTCACCTAAATCCACAAGTGACATGTAGAATTTTCACACTCTGATTTTTCAAAGATTCTTCATATGATAAATATTTCTAACTTCCCATCCCAGTCAAGTTCTTCTAAATACACACTCCATTGCATTGAAGCAGCACTTTCAGGGTAGGAAACCCAAAAGTATGCACAGTATTCCAATGAAGTCTTCTCAGTACGGAGATGCATAGAAATGCCATACTTTTACTGAATGCTCCTTACACTGTTTTATTTGGCCTTCCTAAGGCCATCTCCCTCATATGATACTTTTCAAAGTTTATAATCTAATGCGCATATTTATTTTATGTCTTCTTGTTAGTTTAAGGTCTTGTGCTGGTTGTTCAAAATCCCCTTGAATGCTAATCCAGTATATTAGCTAAATGAGCTTGGCTGGCAAGCCAGTGTCCTATAAGCTTCTGTCTTCATCCAAAAGCTCTTGCGAGTTAGAATTAAGAACCAAGCTTGCGTCTGCATTATTAGAGTGTCCGCCATTTCACACTGATAATTAGCACTTCTCACCTGCAGATGCTCTAGCCTACTATGGTTGGACTTTATTCATCTCATATTAAATTTTTTTGGTCCATTTGGAAGTCACACAATACTGTCTATAATATTTGGTTTCTTTTTAAAAAGTGTATTTATAGTTTAGAGATTTGTTGTTGCTCTTGTCTAATTTTACAGTTTCGCCTAGACAAATTTTGTTCTCTGCATATATATATGCATATGCAAATATATGTGTGTATATATGTATATATATGTGTGTACATATGTGTATATATGTATATNGACATCTATTTGTAAGTTTGGAACATGCTCAAGGCTATTTCTACTGAAGATATAGTTGCTGTGAATATCAGGACTATATTGATTATATTCATAAATATATTAATTACTAAGAAAGTTTGCCAAATTTTTCTGGGCAATTTCTAAGACCCGTTGGTCACCTAAATCCACAAGTGACATGTAGAATTTTCACACTCTGATTTTTCAAAGATTCTTCATATGATAAATATTTCTAACTTCCCATCCCAGTCAAGTTCTTCTAAATACACACTCCATTGCATTGAAGCAGCACTTTCAGGGTAGGAAACCCAAAAGTATGCACAGTATTCCAATGAAGTCTTCTCAGTACGGAGATGCATAGAAATGCCATACTTTTACTGAATGCTCCTTACACTGTTTTATTTGGCCTTNCTTTACTGAATGCTCCTTAGACTGTTTTAATTTATTTGGCCTCCCTAAGGCCATCTCCCTCATATGATACTTTTCAAAGTTTATAATCTAATGTGCGTATTTATTTTATGTCTTCTTGTTAGTTTAAGGTCTTGTGCTGGTTGTTCAAAATCCCCTTGAATGCTAATCCAGTATATTAGCTAAATGAGCTTGGCTGGCAAGCCAGTGTCCTGTAAGCTTCTGTCTTCATCCAAAAACTCTTGCGAGTTAGAATTAAGAACCAAGCTTGCGTCTGCATTATTAGAGTGTCCGCCATTTCACACTGATAATTAGCACTTCTCACCTGCAGATGCTCTAGCCTACTATGGTTGGACTTTATTCATCTCATATTAAATTTTTTTGGTCCATTTGGAAGTCACACAATACTGTCTATAATATTTGGTTTCTTTTTAAAAAGTGTATTTATAGTTTAGAGATTTGTTGTTGCTCTTGTCTAATTTTGCAGTTTCGCCTAGACAAATTTTGTTCTCTACATCTATATATGCATATACATATATATGTGTGTATATATGTGTATATATATATGTGTGTACATATGTATATATGTGTGTGTGTGTGTGTGTGTGTGTATTATATATCTCCCTTTCATTTTTGTTAAAAGTTTTCTTTTCAAGTTTAGTGAGCCTTCCGCCAAGCACATTTTTGCAGTTCTGGTGAGGTGTGCACTATCTCTTGTCAAGAGCCTGTTATTCTGTGCTAAGCCTTTCTAGGTGAGCAGCTCTTTGCTTCCTAAGTCGTCTTCTTTCCAAAAGTGAAACCTTCAACTGGAAAAAAAAAAAAAGAACATTTTTATACCTCCACAAGTTGGATAGCTTTCTATTTAAGAATTTAAACACTACAAACAGACTCTTGCTGTCTTCTTGTTTCTGTTGCATTTCCAATAAATATTCTGAAAGAGAGCGCACTTCCAAATTAAGAATGTACGTCGCACGCTAGCCCAGAGCCATCGAGGAAGTCCCCGCCTTCCTGTGCATGTTATCCTGCATTCCACAGGTCGTTTTTCATGTTTACTGAGATCAGGGCCAGTGCCTTACACCTCTTCTTCAGAGGGCCAGCAGTGAGGTTCTTAAACATGTCTGTGCCTGTGAACACTTTGTTCATAGTTTTTCCTTAGACTAAGGAGTTGTGCATATAGGTAAGTTTAGGTTAGTCATGATACAACATCCTACAACTAATAGACCTGCTTCCTCAGAGCTCATGTGTTCTGGGAGGGTACCTGTGATTGCTGATACTGTTAGACAACACGTATGATGCTATTTCTCCTCTTTTCCCTCCTCTATTATGAAACCTACTTCAGAATAGACAATTGATTTTTTTTTTTATATACCTCTATTGTCAGGTAAGAAAATGTTTTTAATCCCTTATCAGATTACTCATATATGCTCTAAAACAAAACTCCAACAACTCATATATCTGTGTCTATAGCTATATATACCTATATATATATACACATCTATATATAATACATACATAAGATTATGTATATATATAGAATTCGTGTGTTCTATTGTATTACATTTAATATTTGGAAAGTCTATTTCTTTATTGCATTAATTAGGCAATGTACAATAAAGAAAATATTTTAACGTGACTATCATAAACAAACTTATGTATGTCACAGCATTCCAATTTTTAAAATAAAAGAAATTGGTATGAGAGAAAGAATCCCTAAATATAATTATAGAATGATTCATTTACATCTTAGTGAAAAGTAAGTCAGTCACAGGCTGCGTTCTCTGGGAAGTGACCCTGAATTGGAGTTCAGGGGGCAGGATGTTTACTGGGGTGTGCCCTTGGGATCAACCTCTGCGCAGCACAGTAAAATGAAGAAGGGGTGGGAAGAGAGAAACCGAGCTACCGTGCCATTTCAGTGCCTCCACGCTGACCCCGTGGGAAAGCTCGGGGACTAAACTTGCCCTTCAATACTGTCTGTATTCAGAGGACATGGCTCAACCTTTATGACTTTGCAGCAGTCGCTCATTGACTGTGTGCTGCTCCAGAACGGCGTGACCCTGTGCCAGCCAGCAATCAGCAGCAGGGCAAGCAAGTCTTTCCATGCAGGGGATCTGAGCAGCTCGGGTGAGGAGGGCCTGTAGCTAACTGACACGGACTGAGGAATGACAGTGCAAAAATGACCATTACCCTGAAGCCTCCCATCCCAACTGGAAGTGAATTGTAGAGAAGAGGCAGCATGACAGTGTGGTTTTGCGCAGGGTTCTAGAATGTGCTGTGACTGTGTTCCGACCATTCTTTAGCTCTGTGATTTGGGCCAGTTTATCCTCTGGGACTCAGGTTTTTGTTTTCAAATGAATACTTATAGTAAAAATAACTCCCCCTAAACTGTAAGGAATTTAACATCCTCTCCCTTTAAGGTGTGTGGATTGATCGAAATATATCACACAAGCATTTACTGTAGTGCTTAGCATTTAAAAACCATGTAAAAGTACAATAACTATTGTTTTCATCGTTTACTTTCCTGTGATGTGCTTCTTATAACATATGAATGTGCCAAGTCTCAACTCAGTCTAAAAACGTTCATCACTTGATCTGTTGCCCCCATAAATATATTATCTATACCAGTGGGCCCTAAACTTTCTTGTACATTAATATCATTTAAATCGTTTACTAAAAATCTAGATGTCCGTTCCTATCACATATTCAGAGCCACCAGATTTGGGGCTGGGACCACTGGCTCACCCCAAAGTTTGGTACCAATTGCTTTCTCCCTCCTTTGTCCTCCACTATTTCCCCTCTCCTTTAGTCTGGATTCTATTAATTTTTCAAATAGGTTTCTCAGTTTGAGAACCAATATTAGTTACTCTTTAATAACTGCCCCTTCATGTTCCCTCTTCCATTTCATAAACTGGAAAGAAAAAAAAAAAAAGTCACACATACCCATTGTATTCACTAAAGGAAATGTGAATCTCGAACGGCACTTGACTAAGTACATTTTGTTTTGCTTATGTCTGTCATAGATAACACAGCCAGCATTCTGACCAGGCGGAGGCGATTTAGTCGAACTATTCAGGATGTGTATTATCTGCCCATTATGATCTCTGACGGTGGAATCCCCTCTCTCAGCAGCAGCAGCACCCTCACCATCAGGGTTTGTGCGTGCGAGAGAGATGGGCGCGTGCGGACCTGCCACGCCGAAGCGTTCCTGTCCTCGGCTGGCTTGAGCACAGGAGCCTTAATCGCTATTCTTCTGTGTGTGGTCATTCTCCTGGGTAAGTCGCTCTCGGCCCCAGTGATGTGCGACAGGGCGTCCACAGGTACCTGCAGTGGCAGAAATTAAGGAACAGGAATGCGTGATGTGAGGGACAGGACGTGGCCGGGCAGATTTGATTTTCACTGACTTAATACCACAGGAAGTCTGGAAATAATTTGGTTCAGATTTAATTTAAAAAGTTGAAATAGCAGAAAAAAAGAATGGAATATGAGAGAAATCATTTTGGAAAGGGTCTACCCTAGAAACAATTAATATTAAATATTTTAAATCCCATCCTGAACAGGCTTTTACAGTCTATTTCAAAGAACAAAAGTGACATCATTCTAAAATGAACCTGAACACAAAATTTAAAAAATTGATTTCTTGTAGAAACTTCTATTAGTCTAAAATACTAGTTAGTCCTCAATGTTAGCTGAATTCTAAAGTTATTAAGTCCAAGTAACTTGGGCCTTAGAGATATTAAAATACAACTAATAGGATTTTTATTTGATTAAAAATAAAATATTTTTTATTATTTTAATAGTCTAAATCTTGTCACAACCTCATTTGTAGCTGTTATTGCATATTTAAACTTTTTAGAATTGCTATTTAATACAAGACAGAAAATCTAGATTTTTTTTTATAACAAGAAAAATAGATATAAAGAATTTTTATGCTTTATAATTCAAAGTGGATCTATATTTGTTTTTCCAGTGTGTTCTCTCCTTTTGTCTTTCTCTTAGCAGCCTTATCTTTGGTTCTTTTCTGGGTACTGTACATACAAAGAAACAAAACAAAACAAAAAGCTGTATGCTTTGGTGAAACAGAGATATTCTTCCAAGGAATGTTTCCTGTTTTGTTTCTGGGGTAGAAACCAAATGACCTGTACAGAGGGAGTGGAGAGCGAGGTGGAATGAAGCTGAAAGGTAGAAGAGAGACTCAGGCAGGAATGAGACAGCCTGGGCCTTCTTGGACAAGGTGAATGTAGTGGGCTTTGTCCCAGGGGTATAAAGAGAGGTTTAAAGTAACAGAATCTCATCATAAATTTACATTTTGAAAAAAGATGACTATTAATGAAGTAAAGAACAGGACTCATGGAGGCAAGAGAGGACATAGGCAAAGTGATGAGGTAGGAAACGAAGCATCTCCTTCAGACATAGCACACTTGACTAGCAGACTTAAGAGTGTAACTGAAGAAAGGTGGCTGTTATCAAGATGTTTTAGGAGAAATCAGAAGTTACCTTGGATAATACAGTGCAAGTTCCCAGATGAAAGTATTTATCAAAATTTTAACTAAAGCACCTGAGATTCCATTTGAAAAGTGCAATGTTAATCAATTCATGTCTCTCAACAGAAATTAATGTCTATGCCATAATGTCCTTTTTGGAAAAAACTTTCCACGGGCAGAAAGTAAAATTGCCAATAAAAAGTGATCTTGGGGTAAATTTGATATATGGCTGAATTAGAACCATATCAAAGAAGACCTTTTATCTCTTGCTGAATGTGGATCCTGATCTTCCAAGCTGGTGGACGTCAGAAGCGCACTTTGTTGAAGTCACTATAGCTAGAGAATATAAAGAGATAATAGAGCAGGACTGATCTGTGATAAACTCCAATGTAATCATTAAGTCAAGAAGGATCAGAGAGCAGAGAGAGCAAAGGAGAAGTCAGAGAAGGAAGAAGAATGTTAGGAAATATGGCATAAAAGTCAAAGGAACAAACCTATCAAAGAGGACAGACCATTCAACAATGTCAAAAGCTGTCCAGAGGTTAGATAAATTGATTACCAAAAAGTATCAGTTGCACTTAGCAACCTGGAATATGGAGGTTTGGTGCACCACAGCAAGACCTGTTTTACTGTGGTCTAGTCTTTTACAGCAGATGCCTGGTGAAAAGGGAAATCAGATGAATCAGGCTTTCTGGAGAGGATTTATTTATATATTCAGTGGTCACAATACTATTTTCTTTAGATATTAACACATTACATTTTTATCTTGGAAAATTAAAACAAAGCAAAATACATGAACAAACCAGAAAGAGAAAATAAAACTAAATGAAACAACTACAACTATTGATCCCTTTAAGGTTTCTTTCTTTCTCTTTCTCTCTTTCTTTCTTTCTTTCTTTCTTTCTTTCTTTCTTTCTTTCTTTCTTTCTTTCTTTCTTTCTTCCTTTCTTCCTTTCTTCCTTTCTTCCTTTCTTCCTTTCTTCCTTTCTTCCTTTCTTCCTCTTTTCCTTTCTTTTCCTTTCTTTTCCTTTCTTTTCCTTTCTTTTCTTCTTTTTTCTTTTCTTTTCTTTTCTTCTTTCTTTCTCGCAAAGAACTTATGCACCCCTATGTTCACAGCAGCTCAATTCACAATAGCTAAGATTCGGAAACAGCCCTTTACGGTTTTTAACTTAAACCACAAAGTATAGAACTCAGTGACTTTAACATAAGTTCTTTCAGTGTCCTTATTCTGAAAGATAGTTCAGTTGGGAGAAGCAGGTTACCTTTGGCTTTTGTTATCATTAATCATCATAAAGCTATTTTCCTTTACTAATATAAGACCTTAAAAAGTAATTGAAAAAATGTTAATATACAGGTCCATTTAAGGTGTATTATGTAAAATAATATTATTTCTTGAAACAATATTTTCATTTAATTTGCTTGATAAAACTTTATTTTCCCTTTGGGATAAATAAGAGAACGTTTCTAAATGTTATCCTATCCCTAAACACTAATGAAGCCAAGATGCTATTCGATATGTTTCCTCACTCAATTTTTATTGAAACTCAATTTTTTTTTTACAGTTTTATCCAAAGGTTGCAGAATAATTTCTTAAGCTTGGGTTTAAACAATCATTATTTATAATGTAATTTATATTTTATGACATTTTAAGTGTTTTTATTGTTATTCAGAAGGTATCTAACCAACGGACTCAGGATATAGTCATTTGTAACTTTAAAATAATGGTGGTTAAGGTGTGACTTTATAATTTCTTAGGAAGATATCAGCAACACCAGAGGCAGAAAAACATTATTTTAGACCTTGTAATTCTGAAATAACATTCCAACCTAAAACAGCTGAACATTTTATGAAATTAATATTTTAATACTGAAATGTTTTAACTAGTAGCCATTTGTTTGTGAAATGACCTTAATTGTGTAAACCTAGCCCTAGTTTTGCCATTAATTAATGCTTTGACCTTAGGCAACCCATTCTAGATTCTACAGGATTTCGGAATCTGTGAAAATAAAGTTTCAATTTGAAGGACCTAGAGCTATCTCTAAAATACTGTGGTGCTTATTTTCAAACATTAAATTTTTTTTTGAGTAAAATTATGTGTCTGGTATTATTAGTAACCATAAGCTGATTTTAAAGATATTTAAAAATTATTTTCTTACTGAGGCTATTACTACGCATGAAGAGTCACTTAGCACAATGCCCTGTGGCCAGTTTCACAGAGGGGATTCTTTGTCATCCACACGAGAATTGTTCATGGAGTATCTACTGTGTGCCATCTGCTCCAGAAACACCCACTGAACAACCATGTATGTGAAGATGTAGAGTCATCAAAAAGCACATCTTCCGATCCATGTTTCCACATTCTTCTCTGAGTTGTTTTGAATTTGCCTTTGACTAGAGGCACCATATGTTCATATTCGTCCTGATGTCCTGATCTAATTATAAACAACATCTCTTTCACTCGTAAAAGTGTTTCAGATCGCATGATTAATTATGTGTTGATCCCCATACCAATTAGGTATGCAACAACTCTAGGAATATATGCCACTGGAAAATAACTATCGATGCCTGGAAAGAAACAGATGCAAATTCTCAAAGTTTAAACTTAACTAGCATATACATTTTGGATCAAAAGGTATCGGTAATATTTTCTTAAGTTTTGGAGAAAAAGCAAACATAAGCTACCATAGTAACAAACCCAAGATTATCCCCTGTGTCTCATTAGGCGAATATGGCACTGGCCCTGATGAAGAATGAGAATTACCTCCGGACCTTGACAATGTATTGATCGAGGCCTCCCTGTTATGCATACGCATAAATCCCCTTGACGTCAACCACCAATTATTTCAGCATAAAGGAAAATAACTTGATTTATTGAGAAACGTTAAGAAATTTTGCTGTAATAAATTAGGCAGTGTGTAGAAATAGCTGTTTTAATCTAGAACAGCCTCCTCACTTAATCATAAAGATGAGCAGAAATATATAGTCGATGATAAATCTCAACCTCTGAATACAATGAAGTGAGTTCCTTGAGGATGCTGCTTGGGCCATTGAATCAGAAAGCTCTAGGCTGGATTTACTCTAAAATAAAGAGCGAAGTATTGAATGAATATGTACTACATTCAGTGAAAGTCTCTCCCTGCCCCAAATAGCTATATTAGAAAGTGTCTTTGAAGGATCAGCGGCACGGATGGGAAACGGCGCCACCCTCTAGGATAGTATTTGGGAAGCAGGACTGGACATCGGCGCTTCATTCTCGGCGTGCCACGGTGACCCCTCTGCAAGCACAGGGACCCAGAGCTTCCCCGTGCCTGCCGCAGTCTCCCCTATGACACTTCCCCACTGCCTCCTCAGGATCCTCTTATTCCATATTTTTCCAGATAATTCTCTGACCATGTCAACAATGTTTTGCCTTTTTCCTTCATCCCCTTAGGCTCCCACTTGCCTTTTCCTTGGAAAATCAGGTTCCTCCCACTGTATTGTGACCACCTCTTCTCACATGCACAGCAGCACACTTCTGCCTCTTGGTTATCCGGACCACTTCTGGCTGGAAAATCTGCCCCTCTTCCTCTCCACGTTTTGAAGTATTAAGCGCAGATATATTAGGATTATCTATCTAGTTCAAATATAGGCAGAGGTCACTTCTATTGGTTAGGGGTGTGCATTCATGGGGATAAGCTATAAAAAAAAGCAAGGGAGCCATAACAATAAATGTTAAGACGAGAAGTTACTTTTTAGAGGAAGGAGGTAAAAGGGCAGTTTCTAGTGTGCCAGGTATGTTCTTAATCACAGGATACCTAGCCTGGTGTGTGTTTGCTTTACCACCATTTGTTAAAGTTTACATATATTTAGGGTTGCCAGGTAGAATACAGTATACCAAAATTTTTTCAAAATAGACAAAATACAGTATAGAAATATGAATTTCAGATGAAAGTATATGTTTAAAATAATGAAGCAGAATGTGGTAATGGAAACATCATAACCTTTGATGGGAGAAGTCATAGATTCTGGCCCAAGCCCTCCCGCCTGCCATCTGTGTGATCTTAGGCTTAGACTGTAGAAATTCATGTGGTCACTCTCGAGCCTCAGCTTGCTCATTTTTAAAATGAGCAAAGCCCCAGCTCTGTTGTGAAGGTTAAGTAAAGACCTTATGTAAAGACCAGGGCGTCAACTGAAACATTCCTATGAAACCTAAATTGCTTGCAAATAAAATGATGCTTTCTCAGCTGGATAGCAAATGCAGTTATTAATGCACAATCATGTTCTTCTAAAGGGAAATGGGCAAAAAAGATCAACCGTGCTCTGATTCCCAACAAAGCATGGGAAGGAAAGGATTTATGGTAGAGGCTCCTTCCTATCCTACAGAAGCTTAATATCCTGCCTGCAGTGTATCTCCCTAGAAGGATTCAGTATCTGTAGACACACCCACACACCCCATCACTTTCCTGGTCAGAATTTCATATTGTTTTTCCTCCCTCGGTTTCCTTGTGTAAACCCTGAACAGCTGTATAGCGATTGTGAGCGCACAGGCCTGGCAAGCGAGAATGTCTTGGCATTCTAGAAAAGATCAGAAACCCCTACTGCTTTATACGGAAAATTACTTTTTACATGCCTTGAGCTATTGAACCCCTCGAGGTGCTATGGAGAGAGTGCAGGTGCCAGGGCTGTGCGACAGGCAAGCCTGAGGCCAGCGCAGGCATGGCCAGGGCTGAGCATTGCTCACGCCAGCTCTCCGCAGGCTTCCTTCTTTTCTTTCTAACTCTTCGCCCTCTTTCCCTTTTTCCCCAGCGATTGTAGTACTTTTTGTCACCCTGAGGCGCAGCCGAAAAGAGCCCCTGATCATCTCAGAGGAAGACGTGCGGGAGAATGTGGTCACCTATGATGACGAAGGGGGCGGGGAGGAAGACACCGAGGCCTTTGACATCAGCGCCCTGAGGAATCCATCTGCGGCCGAGCAGCTCAAGTACCGGAGAGATATCAGACCTGACGTGCAGCTCACCCCCCGGCCCCAGGCACTGTCCACCCTGGAAAGTATCGACGTCCAGGAATTTATTAAGCAGAGACTGGCAGAAGCTGACCTAGATCCCAGCGTCCCCCCTTATGACTCTCTTCAGACTTATGCCTACGAGGGTCAGAGATCGGAGGCTGGGTCTATCAGCTCCCTGGACTCAGCCACCACACAGTCAGACCAGGATTATCACTACCTTGGGGACTGGGGACCAGAGTTTAAAAAGTTAGCTGAACTCTATGGAGAAATAGAATCTGAAAGAACAACTTAGGGGGTCAGTTCTCGCAACATTCTAGAATCTGCTTCCTGAGCAAGTGAAGACATAACCTCAGCCATGACCAGGGAGAAGCGTGGGAACAGTACTTGGAACTGAGCAAGCTGTGCACAGCCACTGTAGAAACAAGTGCCCTTTCATGATCGAAACTGGGTTGTTTAATTGGAAGGAAGTCAAACTAAACAAAAACAAAACACAAACAAACAGAGAAAAAGCTGTTGTTCCTTGTGTATATTTTCAATTGCTCAATAAAGTCTGTGGTACTGTTTAATTAAGAATACCTGGATTCAGCCAAACAATCATATTTATTTCAATATTTTGTGATTTTTTTTTTTTTTTTCCAAAAGCAAAACTTAATAGGAAGGTTCAAAATCACTTATGACTGATTTCTAGGGGTGGTGCACTGTGGAATTAAAAATCACAACTTCTGTGTCCACTTTTCTGGGTGGACTCTTGAGACCCACACTCTGTTGTTGTGACAGATCTCAGTAGCTTTGTCTTATTTTAAATGACGTGAGAGATATCCAGTCTACCAGGCCACTCTGTCATGGACTTGTATGTACCACTTTCCTTTGCCCTCCCCACTTCTTCTCTCCATAGGAAACTGATGGAGCATGGGGATTTGCTGCTTGCACTATAATGTATGCAATTTCTGTGCACTGATTGTGCGCTGCTCTGAAGCACAGAGACTCTCTCTGTCCCACGGGCCCCCTTTTATTTTAACAGAAATAAAAACACTTTTTATTAAATTGATAGAGTGAATGGTTTAAGGTATACCCAGATAATCAGACCTATCAGGGAAAGATTTAATCTAAAAATTAGCTACAAACCTCACCCTGTACAAAACTTTGGGGAACTCTCTTGTTTTTCCTCATTGGTTTTAGTATGTTTTAATCAGCAGATTTTATCATTCCTATACCTAAGATGACTTGTCAAAAATTTCGTGTTTGGTTTATACTTATTTATAACAGGAGCAGTCGTCAAAAATATTACTTCACAAGATTTGAATTGTAGTCTGAAGAGAATATCCTCAAAACTTCATACACTAATGATTGACTTACCTTTATTCCTTACATAGGTTCCGACTTTCCCCATCTCACTGGCTGATTAGCTTTTATATACTTAGGATCTGCAGGGAAAATGTGTAGGACTAGGAGCAGACAAAAGAAAAAATTAGGAGATTCACACTTATTATTCTTGGATAGGTCCCCAAGGTTTCTGAGCTTCAAGATCCTGAACCGTAAAAATGGCAAAGACTTTCCTCCCTACCTCACAGGCTTGTGTGAGGATCAATAAGCGTCTGTAAAAATGCTTTGCCAACTATAAACTGTTCTGCTACACAAAGGCACCACCTAATTTGCTCATTCCATTGGCTTATAAATATATACTTACACACATTTTGGATAAAATGTATTATGGGAGAATTGTGTAAAACCTTCAACAGTGAAGCGACTGCTAACTGCACATATAATACACAAGTTACATTATTTTAATATTTTTCTAGATCAGCTAATTTTCTTAGAATTTCTTGGGATTTTGCCCCCAAATTGTTTAGATAATATTTTACTGTTGCTATTGATCTTGAAATAATAATTCATAGCTTAAGGGTCCCATTCGCCAAAAATGACCACATTTATGTATTGATTAAATCCACAGTTAAGAATAATTTCAAGTGGGTGTTTTTTTGTTTGCTCTTTAAGTTTATCATAATCTAGTGTCCTCAAAAGTTACATGACATTTTCTGTCTGATTCTACCTATATGCAAAACTTTGAATTTTTGCCTCTGTTTGCAACTGCCCTGTGCTATCATAGTTCAGTTTTGAGGTATGGGAAGTAAGTTTAATTTGAATAATTCTCAATTTGTGTTTAAAGCCTGAGGAATAAAATGTAATTTAAGTTTTCACAACATTTTAACTTTCCAGCTGCTACTTTATCATTTTTTAAAATATCGTAATAGTGTGCATTATGTTATAAAACTAAATCAAAAGAGACACTCGGGGGCTTGGGGAGTAAGCTGTGGATGCACATACTCTGATTATACTAATGTTGGACCACATTTATCCCAAAAGAAGGGTGAACCTTTGAAGAACTATGAATCCTGGTGTTTTGACTTTCCTATGCAAAGAGGACCAGGGAGGCTAGGTTTGGGGAGTCCAGTAGGCTTTTGGATTTAGACTTTTGATAAACTACCCACAGCTTTTGTTTAGTTTTACATTGTTTTGTTTGTACGTAATATTCACCTGGTAACTTTATAGATGAGGATTTGAAAGATGAAATTGTATCTGTACGTTTAACCATTTATGTAAAAGCTGAGGTCCTCCATATGTTTTCAAATGCCAAAATATTTCCCTGCTTTTGTAGAAAAACAGCCAGGTCCAACTAATATTAATTATACATGCTGATGATAATGGATTTATTCTAAGCCCCTGATATCAAATCTAATATGGAGGCAAAATCTTCTGTAGTATTGAAATATTATATTACCATGTTGATTTGTTTTAGAATTTTGTTAATTAAAGCATTCCAAGCATTATTTTTATATGATCTCCAAAACTAGGCAATGATATTATTATTGTAAGTATGGATTGGGTCTCATATTTTTTATTCTATTTTGAGTAAAAAACAAAATGATATATAAATGCTTTTCAAATGGACTGAAGTCATGTAACATTCACTACCTTGCTTTAACAGCTCCAGTTTATTAGTGTGAGGAGAAAATTCTCAAAATGTCTAGTGAGCAAAGAGTTGACACATCAACTCTGAGCATTCACTGGTCATGGATAATCAGCTGTGGAATCATATATGATTTCAAATGGAATCAGCTATGGAATCTAATACACTCAGCACATTTTGTATGTCATAGTTAAATTCATAGATCTAAATAAAATTTAACTTTGGAATCAATTTACTTCTTTCTAATAAGATAATTTTTTACAGACAGAGCCAATATAAAATGGTGGCTGCTAAAGAGAGGAAATATAAATTGTTACAATGATTTTTTAATCCAAGTATTTCTTATAAGAATTTATAAATTCCAAATAGTCTTTGTGAAAACCGTGAGGCATTAATAGGGCTTGAAAAAATTGCTAAAGATCTATTATTAGAAATTATTTCTATAACAAATCTGCACAAATACAGATTTGAAGAGGAGATTGAAGAGAAAATTTTCCCTAAGAAAAGGCTCTATACAAAGTTAAATTGTGACTTTCCTAAAACCTGGTACAAGGAGGAAAATATTCTGGGAGAAATTGCATTTAAAATAAACACACACATACACACACATCTTGAAGAATATTGGAGAGTAAAAGAATGTTTATAATAGTTACTTGGATATTGATATGATCCAAATATATGAAGTATTCAGAACTTTAGTACCCAAAGTTCTGAAGATTCAGCTAGAATTTAATGAACAGTTGTTTTGGCCTTTATTTTGTGTCCGGCCTCAGCCTAACTTTCAGTGCTGTCAAAGACTGAAGCTGATTCACAGATACAGTTACACAGAGCAGACAAAGTTTTCAAATCGTAATAAATCATTATTTTAGAAATGATTTAATGGACATAGTATAACTATTACAGACTAACAAGTGCTTTGACTTACATACTTGGTGTGAAGCAGTGTAGTCAGAAATCTGGATAGAAGAGGGAAGTTTATTGGGTCCATTTCTATATTTCTAAGAAAGATGAAAATATACAACTTGTTTTGTTTGCACAGACCTGCACTGATGAGCGTAATTTGCTTTCTCTTTTCTAGTTTAGCTGAATATATAAGGAAAACAGAAATTTAGGTGGACTCATTCATTTCAGCAGCCATCAAAAACCATCAGCATGGTAATAGGTACAGTGGGACATGAATAGATCCAGTAGCTTTTCGGGGAGTAAGTTTTCTAGCTTTTGGGGGAGTTAGTTTTCATCTGCTTATTAGTATGGACAGTACTTGATCAGCTATTCAACAAATCTGAACTCTAAATTAAATATTCTGGAAACAGGGAAGAGTCCTAAGTTTCAAACTTAAATTGTACTTAGCTTCAAGGTGTGTTACCATTCAGTTAACTTACTTGGCTTTCTTTTTAAGAGAACAAATCTCAGAAGATTTCTTGGGAGATTTGACTCAAATTCAAATTCCCCTTTTTTACCCTTTAGGAATAAAAGCAATTTAAATGTTACTTGAAAGAAATGGAACCATTTCAACTTATATTTTCTACCTCATCTACTGAAGGCAAACTTTTTTGCAAGATAGGATTAAGACTCTCATAAACCCTGCAAGCATTTGACTAGCACAACCAGCACAGATATTTCACTCACTTTTTCAAATATTCCAAATACATCATTTAAAAATAATAAATTAATGCCAACAATTTTAACATATGAAAAGAAGTGTTCTTATTTTTATTTAAACCAATAAAATATATTAGTGTTTTAATAAAGAAGAGATGAAAGAAAAATAGATCATCTTTCAAGCAGTGATGCAAAAAAGTGCTTTTAAGTTACTGAGGAAGGATTACATGTATCCATTTTGCTGAGTCAATGGAAATGAAAGGTTTTTGCTCTTCAATTCTACAGAGATATTAAAACTATTTTGTAATGATTCGTTTCTAAAGTCATAGGTGAAATTAAATGGAGAAAATAGGCACTCGAGGATTCTAAAATTATATCCTCTGAAGATGGTATGTAATTTATAAGTTAAAATGGGTTCATTGCATGATTTAGTCTTATTGCCCAGCCTTATTAGCTTTGGAAATAAGAAAATGGGCCATAATATCACCCTAATAATTTTATCAGGGCACTTTTTCTTATGTAAAAATGCACCAAATTCTTACTCTAAATCATCTACCTTCATTTTCAAGGTGCTATTTCAGGTGCCTTAATTTCCAGCAAAAATGTATCTAATCTAACATTTACTAATTAAATAAGGTCCTCTAAATATGCACTCTATTTAAGATACTAATCCAGGCCCTGAGAGAAAGGTAACTAAAACAACAACAACAAAGCAGTCTTGATGGTAGGTCTTACCAATGAGACTAGAGTCTCACTTCAGAACTAAGACCCACATATAAAACTATAGGCAATATAACAGAAAGCAAAATAGCATGTATTCAAAAATTTGTTTGAATACAATGCGAGGAAAGCTCCAGGATCACCTTAAAACTGTGCAACACTTTTGGGACTCGAGACAGGGAAAACGGTAGAAGTGCAGAGAGAAGTAGAAGCAGAGCGAACAGTTTAAGGAAATGTCCAAAGGTAGATTATTCTATGTGAAGTAGAGAATTTATGCATGAAAATAACGTAAGTTGTTAAGAGAAGTGGAATTTAGATTTAAGATGACTGAATCTTACTCTTCAGCCAGTGTCATTGAGCTTATTTTCCCCTAAAACAGAAAAGTGACCATGCTCAGACTTCTTTGTTAGGAATCTGACTCTTTCATCAATGTCTATCATTCAGTAAAGACAGATTCTGGAGTTTTGTGTACCTTCAGAAGAAATATCAGGCTATTTTAATTATTTCCAAAGATAATTACTTAGTTTAGGGGTCTATCTGGAGAAGGTAAAAAAAAAAAATGTCATAGGTTAACATACCCTTCAGGTATGATTGTTGGAATCACTTAATTTTATCAATTTATTCATCCTAATAAAATAAATTAAAATGAGGGCAAGAGAGATACTTTTAAGAATATCATAAATGTATAAATGTGTTTATCTTCTATAATCATTGTTTTAAGTATAAAATATTTTTGAAGTAAAAACAATAATAT